CCTTGCTACCCTCCTCAGTGGACGCCCACGGCCATTCACAACCAAATAAGCAAGTATCCAGGTAACATTTCTGCTTTGCCTGCTTTTTTTGTGCAAAGAAAAAAGGTATTTATTCCCTTTTTTAAGCGGATACATCCAAACCTCGTGCTTTTTCCAAGGTTTACTTCATCAGTGTTTCAACAGTCGTCTGGGAGCAGGCTGTGGTACAGGCCAGAGTCAAAGCATGAAAACCAGAGGATCAAGGCCCACAGCTGTGCCCTGGGATGATGTTAATAATGATGAATATTTCTGCAAATCTGCAGGATAATAAAAACTAAGGCTACATAATAACGTGTGTGGAGTCTGGATGTCAGCTTGTCCTCATTCTGATAACAAATTTCTGAAAACGGTCCTTCTACCACAGCCTGCATGTCTGTCCAACACTGTCAACATCATTCAGAACAGTCAATGAAAAGCTGATGTTGATAATAGTGCAAAGTGACTCTACCTTCCTCGAGGTTGTGCTTCCCATCATCCTCTCCACACTCTTGTTTCAGAAAGTAGTGGCTTATGTAGAACTTGAAGTCAGCAAAATTAATTTCCTGTGACTTCTCCGCCCAGGTTCCACTGGTGTATTCCCCCTGTGTTCAGATAATGCAGCATCATACGATGAAGGTGAGATACTTCCTTCCTGCATACTTCACACGCATGTAAAGGTTCGATGAGTGAAAAATACCTTCTCTGGAGAAACCTTGCGTGCAGTGTTCCCTGTCAGCTTCCAATCGTTAAGCACTTCCTCCACTCTGGACACAAAACTTCAGGCAGATGAACAGATTAGCCCAGCATACATGCACAGTGTCTGCTTCATGCTAAATAACCACTGAAACTTCAGAAATGAATTTCCCTCCAAGCACACTGTGCTTTAAATATCACATTTACAGAGGCTGCATCCATTTGGACTGCGTCTGCACACACGAGCTGCACCAACCAATGGATCAACATATTAGGAGATGACAACGCAGTAAGTTGCAGAGACGGTTCTTTGGTACAAACAACCATTGAGCCCATTTAACCCCTCGTGACCTTTGGTTAGTGGCACTGTGATTTTGGAAGGAACCACTAAAACAAGAATGATGCTAACACTGGCCAACATGATCAGCTCCCTCAGTGTCCCTTGTTTTTTTTTCCAGTGTGCTCTCATGTTTCTCGTTATTTTATATATTTATTTAAGGCTGGCTGCAGCTCAGGAGGTAGAGCAGGTCAGCTGCTGATTGGAAGGTTGGTGGTTCAATCCCTGGTTCCCCCAGTTTGCATGGGCAAGATGCTAACCCCAACTTCCTCTGCGATGCGTCCATCAGAGTATAAATGCATATGTATGATAGTTAGAAAGCACTCACAGTATAGATAATAGTGAGTGTGGCATGTTGTATAGAGCACTTTGAGTACTCCAGGAGAGCAGGGAAGCGCTGTATAAGAACCAGCCCATTTATTTTATTACGGATTTTGAGGTTGAAAATTCTGACTTTTGACAGAGTGACTCTAATCTGTACCATCTAGCTATATTTAGTTTATTGTCACCTGACAAACACAAGGAGCCACAGCCGACTGGTTTACTGCTGCTGTTTTGTTTTAAAAATACAAACAAACAAACAAACAAAAAAAACAGCGTCCAACAGCACTGTAAACAACGGTAGACTGGTGCATAATAAGCAGCGAATAATGCAGAAAACAGACTTGAGATGGGAAACTGTTCTTGAAGCACAGAGAGAGACAGAGAGAGAGACAGAGAGAGAGACAGAGAGAGAGACAGAGAGAGAGAGAGAGAGAGCTGTACAGGAAGTGGGATTTTGTCGTGCTGGAAGCAAACCAGCCAAAGTGTAAGAGATTTAATGACGATGTTTATCAAACGTGAAGCCTAGTCTGGATCTTCTTTTGCTGCTGGTTCAGTCAATTTTGGTCAGAGTGACAAAACCTGCAGCTCAGACTCTGTGAGCGGTCAGCTCTGCGTCTGTGTACGCGCCGTCGGGTGAACGATCCACGCTCTGTGTTTACGTCTTTGTGTGGAATCCGTGCAGCTGCTCTCATTTACTGTTTCAGCTGTTTGGTGGTTGTTGAAATCGTTTTGTGAGGTTTAACCTGAGATTCTGGAGTTTCTGGCAAAATACATCTTTAAAATCGAATCAGGATTTAATGAATCACTTTATTCAAGCTAAAATCGATTCTAATTGGAAAATCGATTATGGAAACCCACTCCTAGTTCAAACCTCTGGCTCAAGCCCTAACAAGCAGGTGAGTTCTTTATTGACAAATGTGTCCAATTACAGGTCAGTGCTTGGAAAATGCATTTTTATTTAACGCACATTTTGTAATAATACATTTTAGTTGGCTACAGTTTGTTTGGTAATCAATATCCAGAGGATTATTTAAAAATGGCTCACACATATGCCATCAGTGTTGCTATTCATCTACACAGGAAGCACATCTGTATCTGTGCAGTGTTATAGTTTTAGAGATGCTGCTGTGCGATATCAGAGTGGTGGTAAATGTACGTACACAGACGCACAGCCTCACTCTTCAGCTTGACTGTTTGAGGTTAGGTTCGCTGTAAAATGCAATCATGTTGTTTTGTTTAGGCCTGAAGAAATAAATGCAGGTTCGTGTCTCCTAAAGGGAGAGCTGTGCACGTAAACCTGAGGACTAATCCCAGTTTTCAGAGTAATGACCGGCTGGCTTACCGCTCCCACTCGGACGCAGTGGTGAAGTCGGTGATCTCGAAAACCTCCGACTCGGGCTGCAAAACACAAACGTAAACGTAAAACCAGCTGTCGTGTTGTTACAGCGCTTAACAACCACACTGACGTGTTACAAAACAAACTCACATCGCTATCAGCAGCCATGTTGTTGCCTTTGGCTGCCTGATCGGTTCCGGAAACTAGGATGTTTTTCTACGCATGTGCGAAAAGGTGGCCGCTTCCTCTATAGTTCTTTCACAATAAAATAAAACAAACAAATTCTAAATTCAATTCAATTTTATTTGTGTAGCGCCAAATCACAACAACAGTCGTTATGCAAAACTCATTCAGGCATTTGACGACAGGTGTGAAGAATATCCAAAAGGAACTGGAGATGTTTGCTACGCCGTTTAATGTGCAACCATCTGTGCCAGACACTTTCCAAGTGGGCTGCAAAACAGCTACGAGCTCAAAGCTAAGTACAACAGCCTCTCTCTGCTGGACTTTCACAAACTGCACGTTCATGCTGAGGCTTTTCCCATCCTGGCGAGACATGCCCTGAAATTTGCATGTCTGTTTGGGACAACGTACCACTTTGAACAGGTCTTTTCAAAACCGACTCTCGCTAAGAGCCGCTTCCACTCAAGACTAACTGAATCAAACTTGGAAAAGCAGCTTCGAGCATCATCATCATCATCACTGCCAGCTGACATCAGACACCTCGCCATAGTGATGGCCAAATGAAGCTTTCTGAAGCATTGAAGCTTGTATTGAAAAACGGTTCATTACTCGAAGCTTTTCACAGTCCTCTCTGGTGACATCTGGTGGCCAAAAATACGAAAAGCAGCTTGAATCCACAAAATAAAACTCTACAGAGTGGAGTTCTGTCTGATATCGGGCCGCCGTTGTGTTGCTTTGAACGTGTATTTTTGGGGGGTTGAAAAAATGTGGTTTATTTGTTTAATAAATAATTTTGACCAGTAAACTCTCCTTGTTCAAACATGCACCATGGTGTGGTTTTTCTTTGCTTGTGACTTGTTGATGTTGGTAAATACAATAATTGAAAAATACCACATTACATATAATATACATATGATAATGTACAACACATTATGGAGTATGCTTCTGCTGTGAGGTCCTGCCTCCATGCACTTGTGCAAGTGCTAGACGGGTATATTTATAAATAATATTATATTAGGGAAATTTTCCAAGACATATTTTTGACCCTGGGGGTAGAATTGATTGTGAACTGGAAAGGGAAAATGCTTATGAACTTGCAAATTAAAAACATGATGCATTTAAAGTAACCCTT